CCTGGCATGTCTGGTTGAACAGCTGATGGCCGGTGGAGTCCCCTCTGCCGGCTTGGGGCAGACACGGGAGGTGAGTCAGAGACCGGAGCCCTCCTTCCAGGCGTGGATGCTGAGCCCAGCCAGGCCACGAGTGCAGCACACACCTCTGCCGTCACCTCCCGTCTGGGACGTTGGCCGGTGACCTGTCCTGTCTGCTGTGTCTGATTCGGTGTGTCTATAGTGTAGGAGGTGCGTGTGTGTGTGCGTGTGTGTGTGCGTGCACGTGCATGCGTGCGTGTTTCTCACTCTGTCCTTTCATCTGCATTAGACCTGGGACCCTCTCTTTGCATCTTTTCCAGGGCTGGACAAAAGGAGTCATATTCATCAATGGACATAACCTAGGACGCTACTGGAATTTAGGTCCTCAGGAAACCCTGTACCTTCCGGCACCCTGGCTTCACTCTGGAATAAACGAGGTGAGCCACCCACGGCACCCCTCTTCTTCCCATCCACTCCCTAGGACTCTGCCTAGCCTCAGAGGCAGACTTTGAGTCTCACGGCCTCCCCCTTCCACCCGGCAGATCATCGTGTTTGAGGAAGTAGCACCTGGCCTGGAGATCCAGTTCACAAAACAGCCCCAGCTAGGTAGGGCCTAACCCATCGCCACACCCTCCTGAACGTGCTGCGCTTCCTCCTGTGCTCCTCGGGCTGCTGTGTCGGTGACAGCACAGCACTCTCTCCAGTGCCTTTCCTGGGCTGCTGTGGGCAGGGGACACGTGGGCCAGTCACACGGTCTTCATGTCAGCTGGGGGCTACTGGTTGTGAATACAGACTCCCCTACCCCTTTCATTGCTAGTGGGGCCTAGACATCCTTTGGGGGGTGCCCCACCCTCCCTTTGTGACCTAGTAATCGCGCTGCCCTACCTCCCCGCCTTCCACATCCACCCTCCCTGGGGTGGCGTGTGACCCGCGTTCAGCCAATCAGACGTTCCTTTCCAGGATACTGAGTGTCAGTGGCTGGCCCACAGCAGGAAGTGCAGTGAGCAGAGTCCATTCAGTGGTGCGGCTGTGAGTAACCCACTGGTCCCGAGACCCAGGTCACTGGAGCTCACCTGGTTCCTCCCTCTATTCTAACCCCTGCTTCGGGTCAGTGACCCACCTCCGACTCCACCAGTACTCCACTCTTCCGGCTTCAGTGAGGGGCCCTGTTTGTGATGTGTCAGTAAGTTGGGCTCCTAATGCCCGCTCTGTCATATCGCTACAATGAGAGCCGTGCGGGCCTGGACAGTATCAACCTGAGACGGTGCTCCCTGGACGCGACTTCGCAAATATCAACCCGAAGCAAGTGTCTCTTTCCAAGAAATCAAATAAAATCTGAAAGTCAACGCCAGAAGCGACATTGCATTTCCTTCACTTGCCCAGGGTCTCCCCGTGCCACGCACACTCTGGGAAAGCCTTGCTCTTCTGAGATTTGAATCTTCCATGAGACAAAGTCGACGATGTACTAATGTTCACTGTCAGCTGAAACAAAGGGAAACCCAGGTGGGAAGCCTAGCAAAGACAATGTGGTCAAAGCCGAGGGTTATAATAGATACTTAAAGGTGTTTTCATAGGGCCAGCAGATGCCATAGTGATTATGTCGCTGGATTCCCACATGGCCAACTATGGTTTCAGTCCTAGACCCAGTGGCTTGAAAATCTCACCAGGGACATGTGTGCATGTACAAGATCCTGGGAAGAGAATGGAGAAGAGATTGCAACGCGGCCATCCACCCTAGGAGGCCATTTCTCGCTCCTCCTCTCACTGTCTCTGTCTCTCGCCAGTAAGCACATGTGCCCTAAGACAAAAACCTCTTAAAAAAAAGTGTCTTCACTGGACCGGCAGGCAGCGTGGTGGTTAAGGCGCTAGACTCCTACATGGCCAACCGTGGTTCAAGTCCCAAACCTGGTGGCATGAAATTTATGCTGGATACTTGTGTGTGCATGCCCAAAATCTCAGGAGGAGGATGGAGGAGGAGAGGATGGGGCATGGCCAGCCCCCTAGGGGGTGATTTCTCACTTTCCCTCTCCCTGTCTGTTTCTGATGCGTGCATGCGCCTATGGCAAAGACCTTAAAAAAAGAAAAGTGTCTTCACTATTGTAAGTTTTTAGTGACTTAATTTCTCTTCTCAGTGCAGAAAAGGAGACACCCTTACAAATGAAAAATGCTTTCTGAGTCTAAGTCTAAAGAATTTCAAAATGGTTGACTAAAATGTCAGGTCATACGTCAGAGACCAACCTAGTTGATAGGTAATTTTTTCAATTGATCTTATTCCTTTTTCTTTTTTTTAAAATTTATTTAATATTATTATTTTATTACTATTATTTTATTTGCTATAGAGCATGTGTGCTCACCAGGGAAAGACACAGAGAGAGAGAAACTGAAAAAACAAGCTTCCAGGGCCGGGACGTGAACTATGGTTGGCCAGGTGGGAGTCTAGTGCCTTAATCACCATGCCATCTGCTGGAACTCTGAGCTTGTTTCTTAACTAGATTACTGACTTCAGAGTGAAACCAAACAATCAATAGGGCAAAGTAAGCTTTTTTGACACTTTCCTGACCTGACAGCCTAACTTTCATAAATTCTTTGTCTAGCTTTCCTTTCCTTGTGGGGTGGGATAGCAACTCAGAGAAAAAGTTGGTAAATTTTAATTTTCTTATCAATTGATCACTTAAGCTTTTCAATTGGTCTTTAGTAAAGAAGGCTTTTATTAAAAAGGCAATAAACAATTTTTTTATCTTTTTTGACATTTCTGCATCTCTGCATCTCTGGGCGGGCCTAATTCAAATGTCCTCATTAAAAAATGCATGTAGGCCCTTTGCAGCCACTCCATGGCTCTTTTTTCTAATCATAGCAAGTGGACTAACTGATAGGGGTTGGAATATCCAGGCTCATAGGCTCAGATATTCAAGTCAAATTCCCCAGCAATACCCATGGGTCCTTAGATGGGTCCGGAAAACACTTTGGAATTCAGTTTTGGCCCATGGAGTCCCTATTCAATACCAAGGCCAGTCCTCCCTTCCTCACTACGGGTTTTACCCTAACATGAGAGCCAAATGAGGGGGTGCGTAGGCCACAGTCCTGCAGTTTGTTGGGTTTCCTCTGGTGGGAGTGGAGGTGGAGGAGACGGCACCTTAGGACATGGAAGTTCAGACCAAAGGGGAAAGATCGGTGCCAGAGAGGGCAAGGGAAGAGCTGTCAGAGAAACAGTAGACGAGGCCTCCGAATTCACAGCACTGTATTCCCACTCGATTTGCCTCATTCCACACCAGCTTTTTCCAATTGTGCATGCAAATACACTCATTTAGGAATTTCAAAAGACCCCCCTTTTTGCTGTTGCAGTTTGAGGTCATTTCAAGTGGTATGGGCCCACTTTCCTGTTTACAAAATGAGGCTCCACAACATCACGTGTAAACCAGCTCCCAAGGGGGAACTGCCCCTCGAAGGAAAGCTGGCTTAGACATGCAGTTCCCCATCCGTGAAAAGCCCCTTAGAAAGGGAGCAGAATTTGGACGGCATGTTCAGTTAAAGTGTGTTTGGGGTCACTCCACAAGGTGTCACCCTTGAGTCACTCTTCTTGGTGTCTTCCGAACTCTCCGATCCTCTCGCAGTGGCAGAATGGGCCAGCAGAGGGCGTGGTAGTGAAGGCACTGGACTCCCACCTGGCTGACTGTGGGTCGAGTCCCAGAACCAGTGGCTCAAAAATCACCGTGTGTGTGTGTGTGTGTGTGTGTGTGTGTGTGTGTGTGTGCCTAAAACCACCAGAGGAGAATGGAGGAGAAAGGACTGAGGTGTGGCCACCCCCTCTGGGGGACGATTTCTCACTTTTCCTCTCACTGTCTGTCTCCAGCAAGCCCATGCACCCTACGGCAAAAAAAACCCCAAAACCAAAACCAAAACCAAACAAAAAAACCCACCTTACGACATTTTGTTAACCATTTAATTGAAGGATTTAGTCCATTTATAAAATGTACTGTGGTTGTGGATATATGTATTTATTTCTATTGTTTCTGTTAGTATGTATTTCTACGTGAGCTTATTTTTCTATTTCTTTATCTACTTTCTTCTTTCATTGGTTATCGTCTGATTCTCTGGCTTTTTCTCATCCTACTTAGCTTCTGAAGTTTTTCAAAGCTCAAAGCTCTTTGTAACACTTAAACTAGGCTTATGCACAAGCGCACTCGGCCAGGCTAAAGTCACCAACACTTATAGAAACCTCAGTGCAGGCGCCTGCTTGGCCGTCACATCCCTTCAGCTGCTGTGACATTTTGGCCCAGTCTTGCACTGATTTTCCCTCACCTTAGACACGTGTCCTCTTACTGAGTTCCTCCTGTGCACGCTGCTCTCACACAGATCCGTCGCTCTCATCGCCTTCTTCCCTGAGCCTCAGGTCTCCCGCCTGGGATCATCCTTCCGCTGCAGCCGTGTTTCTGAAGGCCCCTTCTCAGCTGGGGTCCTGAGAGGCCCAAGGCATCCATGCTGTATCATGAGTGAACTTCTTTAATATCATTCAGCCTGAAACAGTAAACCAACTGTGGAAATACTCCTTTGGGGTTTAATTCTCCTGTGGAATGGAGAGGCTGCCTCAGCGCTTCCTTGAGTGTGGCTCTTTCGATGGGAAACTCTGGGCATTTGATCGAGCGTTCTATATTGTGTGTGTGTGTTGTTTGTTTTTCTTGAGAGGCAGTTTTGCTGGTAATGAACTCCACACTATGAGCTTTCTACTCCGAATGTAACAGTATATTTCCCGCACAGCTGTTGCATTTACTCCTGAAAAGGGAAAGGCCGCCTAGGTGCGGAGCAGAGGCACTTCAGCAGACGAGGGGGCGTTAATCAGAGGTGAGTATGCACACACCTCCTTGAACCTCGGTCCTCTCATCTGTACAGCGGGCACATTGCGTGGCTCTAGGTGAGATGTTTGTCTATATCCATTATATAATCATGATCACTATGCGTGTTAGTTCTGCTTTGTTTTTTAAAAATAGTTTTTGCCATAGGGCGCATGTACTCACCAGAAAGGAGCGAGACAGAAAGAGACAGTGAGAGGGAAAATGAGAAATCACCCCCAGGATGGATGACCATGCCACAGTCCCTTCTCCTGCTTTCTCCTGGGATTTGGGGCATGCACACACATGTGCCCGGTATGAGTTTCAAGCCGCTGGATCTGGGTCTTGAACCGCGGTCAGCCACGTGGAAGCCAGTGCCTTAACCACCATGCCACCTGCTGGCCTGAGAATGGGATGGGAACGTGCTGTGACCAGTGCAGTTTGGGTGACTTTGCACTGGGAAGGTCGGTGGGCCTCCAAGCGGGGAGGCCCAGCAGACATGAGTGTAGAGACACCGAGGGCTTGCCTTTTTAACCCTGCAGTTTCCATAAAATTCATACGTTTGAGCCTAGACCACCAGAGTTTGCGTTTGTGTGGAGGACCTCTAGGGCATGGCAGAACTCTGTCAGTGTGACAGCCATTAGGTTAGTGTAAGAGAAGGCCATCTGACTCCCTGCCTCTCATCCAGACAGGGCACGCCTTCCTCCCCCTGGACATCAGGCTATTTGCTAAAGTACGTAAAGCCCCTAGGCTCTATCACTATATTTAACGTAGCAGGCACTATGTTTCGTTTATAAAAATATGATGGCGGGGGTGGTGCTGGCTAGTGGCACAGCGGTGTAACTCCACGCTCTGCAAGGTAGACCCACGTGGGAAGGACACCAGCTCCCATCCAGGGATTGCCGAGTACGTGGGGCACACGTGCGCTCATGATCTGGGCTGGCTGGGCCTGGGGGTGGTGAATGACGGCATCGAGACCTGTCAAAGGAGCTGTATCGCTGTCACTCTCATTTATGAAGAAAGTAAGTAAATAAACTTTTTTTTTTAAAGACTTATTTTTGGTGGTGCCATAGAGCAGCAAGAGTTGGCTGTACCCAGGGAGCCAAGTGGTACCAGGCACAGAAGACTCCGTGCCAGGCTGTGCTATGCACATGTGTGACCCAAACAGCCTGACCGTGCTTCCTCCTCTGGTTGGATGTGACCCTTCAGGTCACTTTGGAGATACAAAGATGCAGGGGAATGCCTGAAGTCACTGTGCATCGCCCTCTGCTCTCCCCTGTTCTCTCTCTCTCTCTCTCTCACACACACACACACACACACACACGCACATACACCGTGAGTCAGCATATGCACTCTTCTCCCTGGCCTGGGGACAGTGGTATCTTTTTTCTCTCCTAAGCTAGAGACACTTCTCTTCCCTCCAATGGAGCATGACGTGGCAGGAGTAAAATTTGCTTCATTTTATTTACATCTGTCTAAAGGCATATTTGATTAAAGAATAAGAATGTGCTAAGGATTGTTTGACTAGATAATTCACTTATAAAAGATTTTGAAGTTATTTTGAAGCTGAAATATAGGAATTGAGTTGATACAATACAAGCTACTTAATTTCTCTGTTGATTTATCTTAGATTATTTCTACATTTTGGTATTGCAGGCAATACTCTGATAGTCCTAACATTTATCTTCTTCCTTAAAAATGATTTACAGATGACTTCCAATAATCCAAACGACATGTTAAAATAGCAGGGGTGTATCTCTAGATTGGATGTCTGTACCCTTCCTCTTCCTCTCAAACAGAATGATCTGGAAGAAAAGAGAAGCAGTCAGCAGAAAGGTTAAGACTATTCCATGTGGAATGAGAATGAAGAATGATGAACCTGCATCTGAAGATGAAGGCGGATGTGGCCCCCCACACATACCTCAATGCAGGGGTCAGGGTGACTCACCTCATTGTCTCCTGGCTTCAGCCAGGTAGCAGGCAGGTAGAGTGTTTTCTGGGGCCCAATGTTCCAGTATCGCCCGAGGTTACGCCCATTGATGAACACGAATCCGTAAGTCCAGTTCTGGAAAGGATGGGGGCTTGAGACTTAGCAACAGGTTCACACTGGCAAGGTAAGCTCTCGGGCACTGGGAAGTGAGAGCCCTCTGAAATGGAAGTGAGTTTAGAACGGGACCTGATCCTGGCCTTCTGCTCTAGGAATGAAAGAGGAAAAGCACGAATGGGGCCAGCCCTTTAACAGCGGTGCTGCTATGCTGTCCCCTCCTTTGTCATAGGTTATTAGATCGTTTAAAAAGCAGGTCATCTGCGTCCAGGGATAAGTACTGGGTTGTAGAGATGAGTGCTACTGCTGACGGCAGTCATGAAAGACACATGTTTAACACATCGGCCTGCACAACTGGACGGTGGCCATGACACAGCAATTCCACGTCACAGGACCACGATGTGGAAGAGACAAGGAAGCCTTCAGGCAGTTTCCCCACTAGAGGCATCTGGTTTTTCGGGGGGAGTGACTGGGAAGCTGAGCAGAGTCTTCATAGCCTCACAAGTTTATGGAGACATGGATCCCAAGGAGCCTTATTAAATAAACTGCATTTTGGGCTAGGACTTTGATGGGTTGTGCCCTAGGAGAAGAGAGACTCAGAAATAGGCCAGTTATTGGATGGAAACTGTCCTTCAAACCACTGCTCCTTGTCATTGCAGTCAGGTGCTTGCTAGTGTCCCCAGACATCTCCCGAGGTGGATGTCAGTCTCTCTGGATGAAGGTCACATCACCTTAAGTGGAGGATTATTTATATGCTATTTGTATGGATAATGTCTGGCAATCAATCAAAAATACTCAAGCAGGTGGGGAAGGGGGCAGTGTAAGAGAAAAACCAGGAAAAACAATAGAGAATAGAGGCGGAAGCACAGATGATCCCAATAATAGGTTTGGAAGTCACAGGCTTTAAAGTAACTATGCTTGGGGCTAGCAGGTGGCATGGTGGTTAAGGTGCTGAACTCTCCCACATGGCCGACCACGGTTCAAGTCTCAGACCTGGTAGCTTGCTTTCTCACTTTCCTTCTCTCTGTATGTCTGTCTTTCTCTGGTCAAAGGAAAATAAATGAATGAATGAATAAAATTAAATAATTATTTTCAAAAAAATATGCTTAATAAATTCATATGTTCAAGAAGATAAAAGATAAAACTGAGAATTTCGACAGAGAAGTGAAAACCATAAAAATACTGTAACTTCAACTCTACGATAGAAATTCTAGATGTGAAAATTATAATAGCTGAAATTAAAATCGAGTGGGTGTTTTGAATAGCAGACAAGACAGAGATAGAGTTGACTGAAAAATAAGCAAGAAGAAATTTTCTAAAATTAAACTCAGAGGGAAAAAGGAATAGGAAATATGGAAGACATGAGGATATGAGAGGGAGATAGCAAAATGGTGGACCATATGTAATTGGAAAGATGCAAGGTCTTCCAAAAATTCATGTAAAATGTATATTGTGAAAAAACTATGCATGGATTTCAAAGTTTTCCGCACCGAAATGAACCCATAATTTAAGCCCAGTTTCTATGAACTTTCTGAGGTCTCCTTGTACCCTAAAAGACAAAGATTGCTAGGCTAGATTATTATTTTTTAGGTTTTTTTTTTTTGCCACAGGGCATGTGCACTTGCCAGAGAGAGTCAGTGAGAGAGAGAGAAAGTAAGAAGTCACTGTCCCCCCTCCGGGGGCATGGCCACACCACAATCCCTTCTCCTTCATTCTCCTTTTGGGATTTTGGGCACACATGCACACACGCCCAGCATGATAGTCAAGTAGCTGAGTTCAGGGACTGAATAGCAGTCGGCTATGTGGAAGTTCAGAGCCTTAGCCACTATGCCACCTGATTTTTATTTTATTTTGTATTTTAAAAAATTTTTTTTGGAGAAGTTTTTACTACAGGGCGTGTGCGCTTGTCAGAAAGACAGAGAGAGACAGAGAGACAGAAAATGGACCTTGGGCACACACTCATACATGCCAGCATGAGTTTAAGCCACCGGCTCCGGGACTCAAACTGCAGTCAACTACATGGGAGTTCAGCGACATAGCCATTATGCTACCTGCTGGTCCTGCCACCTGATTTTTAAATAAAGCAGTTATATGCTATAGGTAAGAAAGTCATCAAGAAAGTAAAGATCTTTAAAAAAAGTTGCATGATTGGTGTATGGATTCAAAATATATGAACAAAATTGATAGAATAATGAGAAAGAGATTCACAAGTGAAGTGGAAAATTTTCATACAACCTTTCAATAACTGGTAGTCAAATGAAACAAAATCAGTAAAGATAGAAATCATTTAAAGGCAGACGCATGATGTCCAGATAGGAAACTCAGAAATAGCGGTACGAGGTCCACACAGCCGTTACCTTTGGGAACAAAGGGGGCAGTAATTGGAAGGGTGTCAATGACATATTCTTGTAACCTCATTGATAATTACGTGGCATTCGCTGTGACCATTTTTTTTTTTCGTCTGTACATCCAGATTTTGTGCATTTATGGTATTTCCCTGTGTTTATACACAAAAAGATACAAAAATCCAACCTTTTCCCCCAGGAAAGCAAGTCACAGAATATAATTTATGTTATAATCCTATTAGTATAAAAAAAGGATTGAATGTTGGGACCAGCAGATGGCGTATGGTTACCTTGCTAGACTCCCACGTACTGGATGACAGTTCAAGTCCCAGAGCAGGCCGCTTAACACTCACTGTTCACTCTCTACAGCTTGTTATTGTTTGATGTTTCAATTGTGTTTTGGTGTGTTATTTATTTATTTAATTTTCCAGAAGGTGCATGCATTTGAGAAAGAGAGAAAGAGAGAAAGAGAGAAAGAGAGAACCTCCTGCTATGGAGAGTGGTCACCCTGCAAGCGTGACTCAAACTGCACAGTCAGCATGTAGGATCCAGTTGCTTGAACCAGAACACCACTACCGGCTGGCCCAGAGTGTTATTTTCTAAACCCTGACAAAGTAAGAAGATAGAGATGTGTTGGAGGGCTTAGTTAGAAGCAAGAAAGAGGGGGTGAAAAAGTATTCCCGCCAGGAACACCATGGCTTTGTACAGGACTGAAAGAAAAATGGGTGTTTGGAACGATGCAGGTGAAGCGGGGTGCTCGCTTACCTCGAGGCTCAGGAAGGTGTCCTTGGGAAAAGCGCCAGCCTTCAGGGTACCCTGGTAGAAGGCAGGGCCCCAGTAGCTCTCTGGGGCAGGCCTCCAGGGGGCAGAGCGGAGTCTGGAAGAAGGGCCAAGCCATGAGAGGGGAACGCCTTTTCCCAGCTAGTCTCCACAAGGACTTAGATTCCCTCCCAGGGCCTGGGCTTCTGTTTCAGTGAGATGTATTAGACCAAAGTATTAAAATCGGAGTCGGAAGACCTGGCCTAATGCTCAGTCCTGATTCCAAAGCACCTGATAACCTTGGTAAATCATTCCAGGTCTCTGGATCTTAGCTCTTCTGAAAAGCAGAGAGTCTGAAAGCTCTGAGTCTCCACTAGGGCAGGCAGGAGCATACCTGTTGAAGAAGCTCATTTTCATCTCCAGGGAATAGATAGTGAAGCCCTCTAGGGAAACATTATTGAAGAAAATAGGCCCAAGAAACCCTGCAGACAGGAGAAGGAAGAGGAGTCTGAGTGAGGGTGGGAAACTGCTGGGGTAAAGAATCGATGTGTATCTGCCTCGTGAGAATCCTCAGCCAAGAACACACACTTGTCTGGCCTGTGATGGCTGGGGGTTTCTCGTGGTACGTTTTTGGACCAGAGCCTCCTGCAGTTCCCAGGAGGACACTGGATGGAACTTAGCACGTGTGAGGCCCCCCATAACCTCTCCGCCAGGCCCCGGAGAGCTGAGGAAGGCAGGACCAGTCAGAGAGATGGAGTTTACATCTTTGGTCCTGAGACCAAGGTGTCCACTGCTCAGGGGCTCGGTTTTCCATTCCAATCCCAACCTTTAGTTCCAAGTGACTGAAATAGAGTGTCACCCACCCTTGCAGGTCCAGAGCCCACCTTTCCTCTCATCTTGCATTTTCCACGAGAAGTTGACGCGTCCTTGATTCTCCACCAGGATCCTCAGAAGTTGACAGTTCTGGGGACAGACCAGTTCATGGAGACCCCGTGGCCAAAGACGGCTCTTTCTCTAGAACTTATTCTGTTCCCTGAGGTCCAGATGGGAAGACGAGCAAATGGGGGAACAGGAGGCTCCGGAGCCCAGCAGTCCTCCCCCTCTCTAGGGGCTCCTGTGTTCCCACTTCATACTCAGCCTGCCCTTCCGGCTCTGCTGGTTCTGTGAGCAAAGGCAGAGACCAGAACCCCAACAGGGGCTGATGACCGACTCAGGGCTGAACATGGAAATTCCAGTGATGAAGTATCATGAGATGCTGATGGGCCGGGGCTGGGAGAGGCCATGACACTCACACCCTACCCACCTCTTGCTGCAGCCCTAAGTGGGAAGCGATGCTGAAGGGCAGTGGTGGAGAGAGGCGGATTCTAGCTCAGGACCAGGTGACATTTGCATTTGAGCCTGAAGTGTGGGAATGACCGGGCCGTTCTTGAACGACATACCTCGACTTTAGAAATGTACACGTTCTGGAAATCCTCATTCAGAATTCCGATCATCGTCTCATTCAAAAACACCTGCAAAATAACAGCTGGCATCAGACTGAGAGGCCCACCTGAAGACGGGTGGCCAGACGCTGACCAGAAGCCCCTGACACTCGTGAAGTTGTGATAAAGCCGAAAATAAGCCCGTGTAATCTGACATTATAGTCCTGGGGCCTCCCACCCAGCAGCGAAGTACCGTGTAATCAAGTGGGGCCGTGACTAATCCCTCCCCAACAGCGGAGTTAGGTCGGACATCTTGCTTACCCGCCCGGGCAGCACACTGACCGTACCTGTGCCATGTCGTAAGCGTGAGCATGGAGGCTGCCTTTGGAGCAGATGGGAGTCTCATAAAGAACGAATCCAAAGGCCTGTCCACTTCCGTTGTTTATAGGAAGATTCTCCATGGTAAGGGGTGTATTTGATTGCACGGGCTGTGAGTGAGACAGGGCCGGAACAGAACCCAAAGTGACAAGAAGTCAGGCTCCTCTTCCCGAGGCCCTTGTCATGTGGCTGTACGCTAGGATCCCCAGGACTTCTTTGAAGGGAGAGAGCACATATGCCAGGTGATAACGCTCTGTGCTTTAGCAAGATGCTGGCCAGGAAACTCGGGCTGGGAGCAATTGATGTAATCATCAAAATTGATAAACGGAGTAAATAAATTATATTCTGAAATGACTGGTGGCCAGTGTGGTGGTACAACGGTAATGTGCTACTCAAGGCAAACCAGAGTCATCTGTAACATCACGGGTTCAGTTCTCTGACCAACCTGTACTTGCCAGAGGCCCGTGATTCTGGCTGCATGGGAAGGCTGGGGGAATCCTGGTTTGACCATGTTTGAGGATGCTTGTCTTTCTCTCTGTGTCCGATTCTCATTCTCATGAAAGAAAAAGCTTTTTAAAATTAAAATAAAATAGGCTGACTCCGTAAGCAACTGGTTGAGGGACCTGATTCCTACATGGACAACTGTAGTTTGATTCCTGGCCCCAGTGGCTTAAAAAGCATGTCAGGCACATGTGCATAGATGCCCCAAATCCCAAAAAGATAGAGAAATGGAGAAGGGACTGTGGCATGACCACCGGGGGGTGCCTTCTCCCTCTCTCTCTCTCTCTCTGTGTGTGTGTCTCTGACTTTCCCTGGTGAGTGCATATGCCCTCTGGCAATGAAAACACTGAAATAACTGAAGTCGACAATGTATTAGACAGTAAGCAAACACTTACTAACATCTGCCACTTGATGGTCACTATTTGGTATCTAAAATAGTGAAAATGGGGATGAGCAGATGACGTAATGGTTATGTCACTGGACTCCCACATAGTTGACTGCAACCATGCCCAGAACTCAAACCACAGTCAGCCATGTGGGCACCCACACATAGTTGACTACAGTTCGAGTCCCAGACCTGGCAGCTTAAATCTCACACCAGGCGAGTGAGCCCAAAATCCTAAGAGGAAAATGGAGGAGAAGGGATTGTGGTGTGGCCATGCCCCTGGAGGGTGATGTCTTGCTTTCTGTTTTTCTCTCTCTCCAGCAAGCACATGTGCCCTATAACAAATAATCTCCCTAAAATAAAAAAATAAAATAGTGGAAACTGAAGTGAAATGCAATGAAAGTGAAGTGAATGGAAGTGAAACTGACATGAATCCAAAGTTAGAGTTCTCAAACAATTTCTGCCTTTTCTTCAAAATAGGCCAGGAAGGGATTCCCTGTCCCAGTGCCCAGGAGGTACGCACTTTGTCTAAGTACTGTAGGGTGTCCCACAGTCGCAGGTAGAGTGATGGTCTCACGGAGGGATACATGGTCTTCGGAATAAGGTTGGGCAAGCTGGGCAGGGGACCTGCTGCAATGACAAGTGGTCGCAGTGTGAGAAGGGCTGAAATGCCCAAGCTTTCTAAGCCTCCTCATTCCTATGCTCGACCTCTTATATCCCAGAGCCAGCAAGAGAGGTGGGCCCTGTCCTAGGGCATGGTCTTACCAAAAGCGATGCTAAATAGGCAAGAATGCATGGGAGCCATGGTGGTTCCACACATGGCTGATAGACACGGAGCCCTCTGAGGGGCACACTGACCACATGGATGGAGGGTTCTTAGAGAGCAAGGACTGTCTCCTCTTTTAGCAAGACTGGTGCTCCCCTCCTTCCTAGCCCTTATTTAATGGTTAATAAAACTTCATGTAACAAATAAAATTAAATGGGATGATGTTAGGGGTTACCATGATATATACGGTATCGAGAGTCTTACAAAGAATAACTTACTTAGTCTTCACGATTTTCATAGGAGATCAGTGTCATTTTTCTCATGTTTAGTGAAGAAACTGACACTAAAAGGTCTTAGAAATGCTTATACACCACACGACGACTTTCAAGTGATAAACCCAAGATTTAAACCTAAGGTTGCCCTTGTTCTCAAGGAAGTCATTAAACTGCTACCCATATGAGAAATCTTTTCCTTTCCTCCTTCTTCCATTCCGACATCACATGAGAACAATCGTGTGGATTCAGGGGTTGCCGAGTACCTGAGATAGAGCCAATCAGTTTTCGAAGACTGAAATATTTTTCTGTGTAGTCTCCAGCCTCTGTCAGCAACCCGTCATAGTCTGCAAGAAACCCAGGGCCCATCAGGGGCCGTGCAGCCCTCCACCACGAGCCTCTACAGCACTTCCAAGAATGAGACAGAAGAAAGACACACCTCCTGGCCTCTGGAATGTTCTATCCCAGCCTTGGGTTTGGGCATATAATGGTAACATGGAACATTATTGTACTCTCTCCCGGGACCCGAGGCTGCTGTGACACTGGGCTCCTCTTTTCATTTTTTTCTCCTAATGGGTCCTTTGTTTCTCCTCTCAATCTAGACTGATCTGCTGTGCCTCTCCGTGCCTGACAGCAGTCACCATTTGTACCTTGTTTCTCTTAGAAGGTGGAAGTCAAGAGGTGGCAGATGAGATGCGTAAACCAGGGTTCTAAGTCCCAGGCCTCCCCGTCTAGTACAGTAACAACCCACCACAATATTAAGAACATCTCAGAAGAAAAGGAACTGGGTAAGAGAATGCTTAATGGTCAGGACAGTTCATAGACCAAGAAACCAATGATGCCCCACAATGCTCTTGGGTCCATCTCTGTGACTCTCCAGACCTCTCGTGCTGGAGGTGACCGCACCAGCAAACACTTGCCGTAGCTAGTGACGACAAACAAGTGTTTGTGAAAAATGGAAGCTCCATTCATGAAGCCAAAGTTGGTTCCACCATGGAACATATATATATTGAAGGAAATCTCGTTTTTGATGAATTCAGCCACAGTAGTTTCGATTTCTGTAGAGAAGAAAGAAGAGAACATGGAATAAATGAGACATTTAGAGCGCTTAGAAGTCGTGAGATCTTACCATGTCCAACCCCACCCCACAATCAATTGTTTGGCCATGCAGCTTCTAAGGTCTGAACCAGGATGCAGGAGGAATTGGCCAGGATTACTGAAGGAGATCATGTCTTCTCAGCACCAAGCTTTTCAAACTTCCTTTCCTTTGAGTATTTACCCAATTTGACTCCAAACTACATATAAACAATAGGTTACAAATTCTTATGTTAGTTAAATATCTATCTTAAAATTTTTTTGAAAATGTCAAATAATTAATGTGTCCTCCTTACTGCCTTCTAGGGTAATATCTCAGGAAACCCTGGCTTAGAAACACTGTAATAATCTACAATATGCTCTTCTTTAAAAAAAAAGAATTATTTTATTTAACTTTATTCATTTATTTATTTTCATTTGACCAGAGAGAGACAGAGGGAGAGAGATAGGAAAAGTGAGAAAGAAAGCCACCAGGTCCAGGACTCAAACCACAATCAACCACATGGGAGTCCAGTGCCTTAACCCCCATGCCATCTGCCAGCCCGTAATATGCTCTTCTCAGTCTTAGCCACAGAAACCTTCCGCTGCCACCAGGTTTGAACAGGCACCGTTGCCTTTTCACTGACCATGAGAGGAAGCGGGAAGGTTAAAAGGCAGTTAGATGTGGGATTCGAGTCTCACTGTACTATCTGCCATTTGTATGACCTTGGACAGCCGAAGCCCCTCCCCTGTTAAATGGATGTATTAGTCCCTACATCACGGGATCGATAAGAAAATTAATTGATGGGAAAATATATGCAAGAAACGTGGATACTGCCTGACACACAAGGGATTAGGAAATTGATTTGTTAGATTAACAGAAAAAAAGATAAAAACCACGTGATCATTTCAATTGATGCCGAGAAAGCATTCGACAAAATATAACATCCTTTTATGATTAAGACTTTTAGCAAAATTGGAATAGAAGGGTCATTTCTCAATACAATAAAAGCTGTATATAAAACACCTATAGCAAACATTATACTGAATGGGGAAAAAACAAAAGCTTTTCCACTAAAAACTGGTATACGGCAAGGCTGCTCACTTTCTCCACTCCTTTTCAATATAGTACTGGAAGTCCTCACCAATGCAATCAGAAAGGAGAATAACATAAAAAGCATCCAAATAGGGGAAGAAGAGTTGAAAATACCTTTATTTGCAGATGACATGATGGTATAATTAGAAGACCCAAAGGTATCCACAAAAAAAGCATTTTTATATACAAACACAATAAAGTGGAAGGGTCAACATCCAAAACTCTATAGGAATACAATGAAGTGGAAGGGTCAACATCCAAAACTCTATAGCATTTTTATATACAAACAACAAGCTGACTGAAGTAGAACTGAAGAAAGGAATTCCTTTATCATAGCCACAAAATGTATAAGATGCCTAGGAATAAACCTAACCAAGGAAGTCAAAGACCTTTACAAGGAAAATGATGAAAATTTTAAAAAGAGATTAAAAAAGACAAAAAAAAAAAAAACCAACTGGAAGGAAACCCCATGTCCCTGGATTGGAAGAATCAATATAATCAAAATGGCAATTCTACCCAAATTAATCTACGTATTTAATGCAATTCCAATCAAATTACCAGAGACATTCCTCACAGGTCCAGAAAAGACAATCATAGAATTTGTCTACAATCATAAAAGACCTCGTATTGTCAAAGCAACCTGTGCCAGAAGAGTGGAGTGAGTGGCATCTCATTCCCTGACCCCAAAATATACTATAAAGCTGTGATAATCATAACAGCATGGTATTGGCACAAAAACAGACAGGTGGACCCATGAAGTAGAATAGAGACCCCAGAAATAAACCCCAAAACATACAGCCGATTGATTTTTGACAACAGATACCAGTCAATCCTGTGGGAAAAGGAAAACCTCTTTAGCACATGTTTCTGGAAAAACTGGATATCCATCTGCAGAAAGATAAACCTGGATCCCCATCTTTTACCATTAACAAAAATCAACTCAAAATGAATCAAAGATCTGAATCTAAGACCTCGAACTATAAAACTATTGATGGAAAACACTCAGAAAACTCTGGGAGACATTGAGGTAGGCAAAGACTTCTTAAATAAGATACCCCACCCCCACCAAGCACAGGCAACAATCCCCAAAATAGACAAGTGGGATTATATCAGATTAAGAAGTTTCTGCACAGCAAAGGACATAGTAATTAGTGTGAATCAACAACCTTCAGAATGGGGGAATATTTTTGTGAACTATGTCTCAGATAAGGGACTTATAACCAGAATATATAGGGAATTCAAGTGGCTTACCTCCTAAAAATGACTAACCCGATTAAAAGATTGGAAAAGGAGATGAACAAAAAACTCTCTTAGGAAGATATAAGAACAGTCAAAAAGCATATGAGTAAATGCTCAACCTCCCTCATCACAAAGGAGATGCAGATTAAAACCACAAAACCCAGAATGGCAAAGATTAAAACTTATTAAAAATGGTAAGTGTCTGTGGGATTGTGGTAAAGGGGAACTCTCCTACACTGTACATTTCCAGAGGCCCTTCTGTGGCCATGTGACCTTATCTGTGCAGATCTGTGTCCTACCCTTTCTATCACTGCATCCTATTTTTTTGCTTTGAAATAACTGCCACATGTAGAACTATATATTAATTGTTTGACTTCTTCTTTCTTTCTAAAAGAGATTTTTGCTATAGGGTGCAGGCACTTACCGGACAGAGAGAGATGGAGAGAGAGAAAATGAGAAATCACCCCCCAGGGGTGACGGCCACACTGCAATCCCTTCTCCTCCATTCTTCTCTTGGGATTTTGGGCACCCATACACGTGCACTTGGCATGAGTTTCAAGCTACCAGGTCTGGGACTCAAACCAACATTGGCTATGTGGGAGTCCAGAGCCTTAATCATTATACCAGCTGATGGCCCTGATTGTTTTACTTCTTAAAGATCTGTCAATTCCAGTCAAATTTTAAGCTCACTGGGAATAGAAATGATGCAATATTTATTAACCAGTGAATTCTCAGAGCCTAGGCAGATATACGTAATGGGTTGAGTATTTGTAACAGAGAACTGCGCGATAGCCATGACTCAGGGCCATAGGACTCAAACACTTACCCTTTGTAAATCCAACATGGTGGATCCCTCCCCAACTGTCGTACCAGCCAACCCAGAATTCCATAACCAGTATGGGTTTATTCTAGAAACAAACCAAATCAAATACTAAGTCTGACATGAAACAAAAAAGAGAAATCAGAACAAATTAATACAAGTGAGAACTAGAGGGAATTGTGTTTTCTGCCTTTTTCCAATTAAGAGCTTCCCATTTTTGATCCAAAATTCCTCACCACTCCCACCCTTCGCACTTCACCATCACCCTGAGCTTGGATTTCTTCACTCCTCCTAAACATCTGTGGTCTCCAGTTGCCTCCTGGCTTTATAGGCCTCCCTGGAAAGCACCATCAGTAATTTCAGCCTGCTCCCAAGGCTGGCACTGAAAGAATCAGTTTTAGTACACAAAGACTTGGCCACCATTGTTTTTTTTTTGAGAGTTTTTTTTTTTTGCTATAGGTCATGTGTGCTCGCCAGACAGACAGAGGGAGACAGAGAGACAGAAAGTGAGAAATCACCCCCTAGGGGGGATGGCCACACCGC